ATTGAAGTTAAGATTGTTGTGTAATATGCTTATACAATTCTGTATTTTGAAGCATATTCACTTAAAACTTAAACTGTCCTGGTTATATCCTTTGACAATTTTCTAAACATCAACTAGGTAATATTGGTATGATTGATGTTATCAATAATAGAAATAACTGATCTCAATTTTCAAGAATGCTACATTATACATGCACAGAGTCTTTACAAAAGCATGAGAAATCTTTTGTAAACTGCATTGGGTCTAGAATGGTCATTCCAAGGTGTTTCTTAATGTTATCATTATTTTCATTGCCTCTTCAAAACTCTTTAAACCAGTGCTTTGGAGCCACTTATAGGAAAAGGCAGTTGAATTCAATAGAGGAGGGCACTTTGAAAGAATGTGTTATTGAGTGAAGTTCCTGCTGCTGTTTAGTAACCTTTTGAATTGGCAGAATATCTTAAAATTGTAAAAAATAGCAACTTATAAATATTGTTTTTCAGTACTATTTAACAATGAAAATCCCTTAGCAAAATGGACAACCTTTTCATTTTTTGACTTTTAAAGTAGCTGCTCTGTTAGAAACTTCAATTTGATCGCATTTTGATGAGGAAAAATAACATTTTAATTAAAAGATGGATTATTAAAGTTGGATTATGTCAGTGACAGGACATCTAACTTTTTTAAAAAAAAATAGTGTAGTTCAAATGTGGAAAGTGGAAGTTGAACTAGATTTCACACTTTTACCTTTTGTCTGCATTTTACCCAATTCTTTACTGAGTTCTTCCTCTTCTTGCTGGAAGCTATTTATTAATTAATTGCATATATATGCTGCCTAGATCCCAGCAATTCTGGGAAAATGTTTATTAACAACACAATACAAAGGAACAATGATGACAGAGGAAACAAACCAGATGGGAATAATGAAAAGGAAGAAAAGGAGTATCAGTCATCCTTGCCAAAGACCTGGGCAAAAAGCCTCATCTTCAGAAATCTTCAAAAAACTACCAGGGTGTTTTATTTATTTGTTTGTTTGTTTCAAATCTTGAATGAGAACTTCATTCCAGAGGGCAAGTGCTATCCTGATAAATGATATTGTTTATTTGATAGAACCCAGAGCACACCAATCTTGCCAGGTCAAACTGGTGAGGCAAAACTATGGGAAACACGTGGTTCCTCAAGTAACCAGTCCCAAATAACCAGTGTTAATTGCTCCCTGATTGTGCAAATATATAAGAAATGTTGTGTCAATTTGTAGATATATGGCCTCTTATTATCTCTTATTATCTCTTCCTCCTGCCTTTCAAATTAATGGATACTTGGACGGAAACTTAATGAAAATTTCTTGTTTTGAAATTGAGCAGTTGCCTATTTACATAAACTGTCACTTCTGTCCCTGGAACCCACCTCAGCCCATATAATAGCCCTTAACATTCAATGTTGTTAATGTAGCAGAAATTACCTCAAATATTGCCCAATAACCAAATGCTAAAAAGGAAAACACCTTTAACCCTAACCCTCCCTCCTGTTGGAAGAAAAATCTGGTATGGTTCCAAGCCGGGAGAAAGGCGCTAGAAATAAAATGGAGGCTGATTGGAAAGAAGGACTCCGTTTATTGATGAGCAGAACCAACCATAGCATGCAGTTCTGACAAATTGGTTGAATGAGTGGATAGATCTTTATAGGTTTCTGTGACTTTCAAGTTTGAACTGTTCTTGGGATTGTGCAATGAAGGGGCTTTTGTGTCTCTTGCTATTTCAATGGTGGGTTAATCCTATTATGTCCTAAAGGTCATGTCCTATTTTCAAAATTTGTGGGGGGGGATATAAATTTTAATATCAAACTAGGGGAGCTGTGACTGAAGATTTTTTTTTTTTGTGAATAGGCTGGTGTGGATTTCTTAATGGACACAATATGTGTCCATATCTAAAGATTTCAGGCATCTGTTGGAGGTTTCTCTACTATGCAGGAAATTGGGGCTGCTTTCTGCCTTTAAGAGCATGTTTCTCCATTTCTCCTTTGGTGAAATATAATATTCTGCCTCTTAATATTTCTTAAAATAGTTCATTCTCTAGGAGGGAGCTTCCCACACTCCTTTCTCACTTTCTTTCTTTCTCCCAGCACAATACTGTAAAATGAAGCATTAATTGAAATTATTCCCAAACCTATAAGAACAAGTATTCATACATATTGTCATTAGGAAAAAGAATTTAATAAAATACAGTAGCTATTAATTTCTCATCTGTATACTGTAAGAGGGAATAAAATAATAATAAGTTGTATAGTGAAAGCTACTAATTCTGCAGGACAAAATTTCTTGAAAGCAACTGTTTTAGAAAGACCATCCTTTGCTAGGCTGATTGCAAAATAGTAATTAATAATTAAAGGGGAAGAAAATAAGAGTATTACAAATAAAAAAAATACATGGGAACCTAGTAAGAAATCATATAACCATAGAGATAGAAGGTTCTCATTTATTCATTCTTCATCTTTATATCATCACTATAATTACCCAAAGCAAACTACAAAGTGACATAGAGAAGATAAACTGGTACCTATATTTCTCTCTGCAGATTGAAGGTCTTTCTCATGTATCACAACTTATTCTCTATGTCCAATCAACTGTCTAACTGTTTTTTGGCTTTATCCAAACTCCAGATTANAATAAATAAATAAATAAATAAATAAATAAATAAATAAATAAATAAATAATAAATAATTGCCTTCATGTAAAGCCTATACATAGGTCAGGAAGCTACAGAATGGATAGAACATGATGAAACAGACTGATTTCATTCATTCATTCAATTTATATGCTGAATAGATTAAGAGAACAGATCCAAAGATGAATGTAGAATAAACTTGCAAACCACCTTGTACTATACTGATGATACTACTCAGCTAACTGAAAAAGCAAATGAACTGTGTACTCTAGTAATGGAAATAAAGCAGCAAAATGAAAAAAAAAACTGGGATAAGATTACATATACAGAAGACCATATGACAACATCTATAATAACTAGTCTTAAAATGCCAATGAAGATATCAAAGTGGAGGACAGCTGCTGCCTTATAGAATTAACAGGCAGTCAAGAAATATGCAGCAGACTATCATTTGATAGGGTAGCAATGAAAGAAAAGCTATTACAAAGTGTTGTAACACATCTGTACCTAGACCTGGAATTGTTAGTAAGTGTGATGCACAATGGTGCAAGTTTGGGAACCATTAGGGGTGCCATGAAGAATTACTGAGACAATGAGGGTGATGTGAATTAAGAAAGTTTGGGAACCTCTCACCTAGAGCATTTATTGAAGAATATTTTAATCAGCTATAGCAATAGATAGTTTTTATATCGAATTGATTTGCAATAGATTTGTTACAGTACTCTGCAACTCTACAGTATACATACTTTTTTTTACAGTATGTATACTGTAGAGTTGCACAAGCAGGCAGCATACAAGTGTTTTAACAAAAATAAACAAATAAGATTAACAATAAATGAATAATAACAATAGAACTTGCTCCAGGACCAAAGAAACAAAATGAATGAAATATTAGAAAATATAGGGCCACATGTAGAATGTTAACCATAAAGGCACAATAATACTCATAATAGATTTGCTAGCTATAGCTTTTGTTCTACAAAACATTGGACAGGAAGGAAATAAAACTTATCTTTCCATTAAAATAGTTAAAATGTCAAAACTGGATGATACTTTTGTTATAGGCAAACAAAATAAAATATGTGTGTGTGTGTGTGTGTGTGTGTGTGTTAATGTTTCCAGACAAGGAGGAACCAAGTATCTATCTCTCTGTATATCTCATATATTGATATTGTGGTATCTCCACAAACTTAAGATGTTTCTGTTTCTCTAATAACTTGCCTGGGTATTCATAATAAAGGACCAACCAGATCCAATTACTCAAATTAATATGATAATGAAGAAGAGTAGGAAATGAGAAAAAATGAAGACATGGATCCTGAAAATAATGAATAGAAACAGACATCTGAACTTGATAATGTGGTTTATGGACAGAATGAATACAGGGGGGAAAATGACATGATACTCAATATTTGTAGGAAGAGAAAAATATTTTTTAACACTAACAAAAAATGGTTGTTGGATAGATATTACAATTTTTTAATTTTGTTAGGAGCTCCACCATCATGAAATACTTGTAAATCACTGACTTCAATCTAAATATTTATATTACAGCCTTGAGTTCAAATTCAGTTAATCAGCTGAAAGAGAATCCAGCATATAATAAAGCAATATTCTGCAAATAGATTTAACTGCATTTGAGCAAAAGTATTTTTATAAAAATCCATTAAAATTACTAAAATATAAATAAAATGAGGTATATTGTTCATTAATGAACAATGCTTTTATTCCAGGCTTGGAGGGGTGGGAGGAGATACAAATACATTTAAATCAATTACGGCATATCTTTAAAAATATAGTTTATTAAATTGCTGTGCCTGAAAAACCATCTTCTGCAAACCCAGAAAAAAATATTCACGACGGCTTTCTACAAAGTTCAAAGCACTTGGCTAATTCTACGAACAGTCTATTTAGTGCCAATTTAATGCCCTGAAATTTGTTCATCTTTTATTTTAGCTTTCCTAAGCTTGAATTCTCCACTGAGGAATAGGTAGAGGGAGATGGATGAGTAAAAAGATTTGCATTTCTTGCCCGTTTCGCTTTGTTCAAGAAGCTATTTTTTAATGGGGAGGGGCGCTGGAAGGAGACACAAATCAGGAAATCTTTTCCCAAGCAAGGCGAGCAGAAGATTACAAACCCAGCACAAAGACAAATATAGGCTCTCTCTTTCTCTATAGCCGGTAAGAGGGGAGGGGAAAAGGTGGAGTTTTTAAGGGTTGCTTTTCGTCTTGTTTTCCGCCCTGTCTTTCCTCCCAGCCAGTAACAAACGTCTGCGCCTTTAAAGTCCAGCGCCGCAAAGCGTGGTTACCCTCGCGCTATAAATAAAAGTTAAGGGCCACGCAGAGGACGACCAGGCAGCGTCTTTGATCTGGGGCGAAGGGACGTCGTTTTCCCGCTCTTCCTCCCTCAGAGTCCGCTGCTGCCTCCCCTTGGAGATATGGCGTGCATGGACAGATATCGGTGCTGCACGGACTCACGGGGGCAGAGCAGTATTCTCTACAACATACTGAAGAGCGAGGAGCTGCAGCAGCAAGAAGAGACCAGCCGGCAGCAGCCCCCGCCTCAACCGGGCCAGGGGCCCTACGTGCCGGCTCTCGGCTGCTCGTGCGGTAGGCAGAGGCGCGTGGCCCTCAAGAACCAGCAGGTCGCATGCAAGGCGGCTTCGGCCGTGTTGGTGAAAACGCTGCGCTTCGTAAAGAACGTGCCCTGCTTTCAGGAGCTGCCTCTGGACGAGCAGCTGGTGCTTGTGCGCAGCTGTTGGGCTCCCCTGCTCGTGCTGGGGCTGGCCCAGGATCGAGTGCACTTCGAGACGGTAGAGACGACGGAGCTCAGCATGCTCCACAGGATACTGACCAACAAGCGCTGCGATGAAGAGCAGCGGCGGCGGAGGCAGCTCCAGTTGCTGCGCGAGACGCAGGGGGAGTTGGGCCAGAGCTGCGGGAATGGGGATGGAAGTAGCGGCGGCGGCGGCAACGCCGAGCTACCGTCGGCGGCAGAAATCCAAAGCATCAAAGGCTTTTTGGCCAAATGTTGGAGTTTGGATATAAGCACCAAGGAGTATGCCTACCTCAAGGGGACGGTTCTCTTCAATCCGGGTAAGCCAGCTGCTTTTGGTAGTGACTGGGTATGGCTCGGGACAGGCCTCGAAGTTGAGGGACCCCCGGATGTGTTGGCCTTAAACTTTCCACCGGGAACTCCAACTCATCTGGAAGACATCTGCTAACGGAAAGGGCCTGTCCTTCTGATAGTATTCCTCTGTAACTTGGGAGGAAGTTCCACTGATCTGGCTTTGCCCAAACTTGCAAAATCATCTTTTTAAAAAAACGTTCAATAACTGGACACTTAAGGATTTAGGTCGGACAGGCAGCTGTCGGAATGCAGCAATTGAGCGTTATTCCTGGTATCTGTCTGTATTTTTAAAATCTTACTAAGTTAAATGCCTAATAGTAGTATTAGGCAGGGTGATAGAGAGCTCAGATAGAGAATTAGAATTTTGTGAATTGAAATGTTAGAAAAAACAGTCTTCTGATAATACTTGGTGTGGAAGCAAATATCAGTTTCACAAGTGTTGCATGCAGACAACACAAAGTAAGTCAAAACTCCATGCCTTTGGGAACTATAATTAGTATATTGCTAACTATAATACATATTAAGTTTGGATTTTGAAAAATAAAAACATCTATGTGAGTTTATATTGAGGAAAACAAAAATAAATGAATTTACCTCAAATGCTAGCTGTGCTTCAGCATATCTCATTTAAGGATTTAATAAAAAATAAAATTTTGTTTTGATTAATAACATTTTAGATATGTGTTGTTGAAGACTGTGATTAAAAGTTTATTAAATTACGTAGTGTGGAATGGAATGCGGAATACATTAAGCATAAAGACAGGACTGAAGAATTTGAAAAAAATATTTGTAATCTTAAAACATCCAAGTTAATTGAGATGCCAGTCATTTATTATTAAAACATGTAAATAATGCTGCTCTTAAGGGACAATGACAAGAGAAAAACATCAAGCTTCTGTGTAATTTATCAAGTGTTAGATAGCATTTTCTATGTATTTCAATAATCAGAACCTAGTAGTGCTGTCTTCTAAAATAGAATAGAACTATTATAAAATGGTATAAATGTAATATATACTCTGTAGCAAGTGGTAGGTGTCAAAATTAAGGGAGAGATCCTATCATGCAAGATTGCAAAGTTTTGAGCTGAGATGCAGATGTAAACATCTTAGTTTAATTTGGAACTTCCTTTTTTGCTGCATGCAACTGTAGAAATACTTTTGCAGCAGTGCATATATTTAACTTATTTTTGTATTTTTCGGAGTATAAGATGCACTTTGCCCCCTAAAAAGGGTGAAAATTTGGGTGCATTTGAGGGGATTGCCACAGATCATCGCTGCCTCTGTGCCTTGTGTTTTTGGCCTTTGTGCCTCACATTTTCAGCCTCCGAACACTCTATTTTAGACCCGTTCCATGCTGTGGGGATTGTCACAGCACATTGCTGCCGATCATCGCCTCCGGGTGTCACATTTTTGGCCTCCGGGCGTTATATTTTCAGCTTCCGCATGCCCCATTATTGGCCTTCACACATCGTGTTTTTGGGCGGTTTCAGGCAGCAGGGATCGGCAATCCCTGCCACCTGGAACCGCCCGAAAATGGGGCATGCACAGGCCAAAAATGGGCTGTGCAGAGCCCAAAAACACAACATGTAGAGGCAGAAAACATGATGCACGAAAGTGGCGATCAGCAGCAATGTGCTGTGGCTGTCCCTGCAGCTTTGAACGGATCTGAAATGGAGCATTAGGAGGCTGAAAACATGAGGCACAGAGATGGCATTGGTCTGGCAATCCTTTCAGCCTGGAACAGCCTGATTGGGGATAGTCTGGGAGGTCAGTACACCTGCCAATTAGCTACCTGTGCTGAATCAGGCTGCAATAATGTGCTGAAGCTGACCAGGCTGTTTGCTGTTTGTTGCAAGGACACTAGCTAGATGAATACCGATGGATGCTGGTAGGAAGAGGCAGCTTTTTTTCTTGTTTCCTCCCCAAAAACTGAGGTGTGTCTTATACTCCAAAAAATACAGTAGGTTGTATTGAAGTTAACAGGTTGTTTGAAATGCCTCTTTAAAAAAAAAGAAAGAAATATGTTGCAATGACCATTTTCATCCATAAGAAGGAACTTTAGTGAAACACTTTATTAAACATGGATGTCAGTGCATTTGTGTGAAGAGATATTTTTGCAGAAATATTTCTTTCATATTAGTTTTAGTATCTCTTTAGAAGCGAGTAGATTGGAATACCTTCCATGTAACAGTTTTTATATTACTCTATCAGCACGATAACATCTTTCAATATATAACCTTAGTCAGAAGGTTCAATGTAGAACACTAATTTAGTAATAGCAACATGATCCAATATAAATTGTTTATATTACAAGTGAAAGAGATAATAATGTAATGTTTATGTACTGTTCTTCTTGTCTCTCTCCTTTTAGAGTTGCCAGGGCTGCACTGTGTGCAGTACATCCAAGGACTGCAGCAAGAAGCACAACAAGCCCTAAATGAACACGTCAGACTGATTCACAGAGAAGACCAGGACAGATTTGCCAAACTGAATGTGGCTCTTTCTATGCTTGGATCAATTAATGCCAGTGTTATTGCAGAACTTTTTTTCAGGCCCATTATTGGAACAGTAAATATGGATGACATGTTGTTGGAGATGCTTTGTGCAAAATTATGAAATCATATGTGAGTGAGGCATGACAATTTAGTGTGAAAAGTCTTGACAACAAAATAGTGTAAAATATTGTAAAATAAACTAACTTATTGCTTTAAAGTGGCAATATGTTTGCATTCAGCAATGGAATGTTCTTTGAGTTCACTCTGTTTATTAATTAGAAGTATCTTAAAGCATTTCATCATCAATCTAAATTCTCTTGCAAAATAAAATAATTCTACGCACACACAGAAAGGAGTTTGCAGGTTTCAGTGACTTCTTTGTAGGACAAGAGTGCAATTTTTTTCTTTGTTTTCAAAGAAGTAAAAGTATTATGTAATTCACAAAATTAAAACCTAGACTGATCTGCATAATATATATTCAAAACAGAAAGTGTTCAGTCAAATGCTGTACAATTTTATATATTTAAAGTATCTGTTTAATCAAGGAGAGTGTAATACTTTGTCTTACATTTCATACCTTGTTTGCCCATTAATTTAGATTCAGCAAATTCATAACAAGCTTTACTTGAATGTACTTCATTATGTCAGAAGTTCTTAATCTAGAGAACAACACCATAAAAGAGCTGGAGCAGGGCTGGACAGTGGTGAAATCTAAACATTTTTACTACCGGCTCTGTGGGCGTGCCTTGGTGGGTCTTGTGACTATGTAGTCATGTAACTGGAGGATTAAAAGAAGAAACTCATTTTAACAATGTCCTGCTGGAGCAGGGTTGGACTAGATGACCTCCAGGTTCCTTCCAGCCCTGGATTATCCTCTGAAGTTGCGTCTAGTGCCAGGTTTGTAGTCCTTCCTTCCTCTCCTTTTTCCCTCCCTCCCTTTCTTCTCTTTCTCTTTCTATCTGTTTCTGTCTGTCTGTCTGTCTCTTTCTTTCCTTCTTTCTTTCTCAGCACCCCCACCCCCCGTTTTTGGCTGTGTGACATGCGATCGTCAGAACTTGCTTTTTTCTTTACCTTATTTAGGTTTTTTTTACTACCGATTCTACAAACCAGTAGCAATTTTACTACCGGTTAGAGTGAACCAGCCTGAACTGGTACATTTCACCCCTGTGCTGGAGTGAGTTTCTTGATAGGCAGAAGATGCATGCACATACAAACTTTTGAATTCTACAACATCAGTTCCAAACAATTGAGTAAGATATATTTGAATTTGAAACACACAATCTTGTAAAGTAAACAGAGTTGACAGTAATTACAAACAATTCACTTTATAATATCTTGAGTAAAATAGAATATGTGGATTCAGAGCAAATCTGATTACGTATTCTTGTAATACACTATTTTAACCTAAATATTATCTCACTCTTTAGAATGGGAACCTGATATAAATCTCTAATTTTGTCATTTAAAAAGGTTTTGCTTTCCTTTTCCAAAAACTTTTCCTTTATTTTTGTATCTTTCATATGGCTGACTACTTTTTCCTGAGGTTAAAAAAAAACCTTAGATATTAAAGCTCAAAATTAGTACACATTTTCTTAACTTTCAAATTCCATTTGCTACTTTGCAGAATGAAATTAGTATTAAGTTACATTTGAGAATGAATAAATGAATGGGAGTAAAGAATGCTTCAGCAAACATCACTGTTCTGCTCAAGTATGATATATTCTTGTGAAAGGCTAGAGACACACTTAAGATTTGGCAATTGTACATCCTTAATTCATGGCCTTATTAAAAGTTTAATAAGCACATCTTTCTTAGCCTTATAAGGCTAGATTATATATTTTCCAATATTGTTAATATCACTCACATAAAATTGTTAATCCCCTGCCTAGACCATACTGAATCATTTTATGCATTCTTAAAAATACTTCATGGGGAGGGGATGGGGGGGGGGAATCCTGTATAAGTAATTATAGATTGGGTTGCATTGCTGTAGTATAAAATTGTAAACTAAGAAATTGGTTTCAAATTACGTGAGGAGCATTAAAACATTTAGAGCACTTAATTCGGTTTCAGACTAAAAGTTATTAAATATGAATAGTAAGCTGTGTGAATAAAAAATGCCCCATTAAAATTTAAATTATACTTGTAAGAAGACAAGGTTTCCACAAAATGAAAACTATTATTTTTATTCTTCACAATATTTTTGTGTAGTATACATAAAAATAACAGTATAATTCTATGCAATCAATTCTAAATTTTGCTGATACATTTCCTTATTTTCACTTAAAAATAGTTTCAACATTTTTGTGTACATAATATTATTGGTGGAATGTAACAGTACATATTTAGAATTTACCAGCTTTTGTTCTCTAAATTCAGCTTGATTGCTGCCTGATAATTGATCCCACTTGTGTACTGTTTGATGACTTTCATACTCCAATCCCAAACTGGGATGACCATAGAGAATGTCCTGGGTTCATGATAATGGATCAAAAATATCTAGTTTTTAGCATATTCCTGAAAATTAAGATGAGAGGCACATGACACAACTTGCAGTTCTATCAACATCAAATGCAAAGATGCACAGTGATCATTTCAATTTTATCATTTTTGCTTTTTGAATCCAAAAAGATGAATTGTGAATGGGAAGTTATGAGAACATAACTTGTTTTCTGATTGGTTTCTCATGTAGTTTAAAAGAATGCTATACAGTGGTGCCTTGGTACTCAACTGTTTTGAAACATTGACACATTTTAATATGAAAATTTTGACCCAGTATTCATAATTTGTTTGGTTTTCAATGCATAAGCTAGAACTTGTCACTGTTGGCTGCCTTGTGACTCTTATGCTATTCCTTATGGAAAAAATGTATTTGGTACTCAGCAATTTTTGTACTCATCATTTCTTGGAACCAATTGAGGAATGGTACTGAGGTACCACTGTATATTAAATTGTTCAACTTCGTTGATTTTTTTCTTTTTAAAGGGTAACGCTATTCATATTTATAAACAATAACAAATCTACAAGAAATGTCCTTACATTCCATGTACTATGAACAGTAATGAAAATCAATTTAATGACTATTTTAATTATAGAATAAAATAACAGCAAACATAACAAATAAAAGCAATAAAATGTCCAGCAAATAAATTTAGAAGGCATGCCATTTAAACATCCAATTTTATAAGTATTTAAACTGGCTATGGAATAACTCAATGACAGTCTGATCCACTTAGATTCACTAGGTTCACCACCTAAATTATTTCCAAGTATGTATGCTTAGGTTGCAGTTTTCATCTTTAATTTCAAATTATTGGTGAATGTACCATAATAGTAATAGCACATATACTGCTTCACAGTGCTTTACAGCCCTTAAGCGGTTTACAGAGTTGGCATATTGCCCCCAACAATCTGGGTTTTACCAACCTCGGAAGGATGGAAGGCTGAGCCAACCTTGAGCCAGTGTGACTTGAACTGCCAAAGTGCTAGCAATTGGCAGTCAGCAGAAATAGCTCACAGTAGTACTACGTTCTAATCACTGCACCACAGCTCATAATACTAACCACTGCACCACAGCTCATAATATTTGAAAATTATTTAATATTATCATACAGAACTATATTGTCAAGCTTGAAAAAGTATTCTGCCATATGATAATTACCTTTAACATATCAATTTATAATTGAGATATGCTGTTACCTGAAACTGCTTCTCCACCAAATGTTTTCTTCTCCTCTATCTGTTTAATCTTTTTGCATCTTCTCCCATACTTTTTTTTCTTTTTCTTCTTTTGCCCTGTTTATATCATTTATTTATTTTTCCTTTGAATTATCTAAAATATAGAATTTAAACCTTGAACATCTTTCATCTTGAAAGTACTGCTTCTGGTTGCTAAGTAGCAATAATAAGTAAAGCAGTGAAGTTTTTGCTCTGTTATCTTTGGTATTCTGAATAGTAGTATTTCAGATCAAAGAGGATCTAAGCATGGTAGCTATTTGATGAAACTCCCATTTCAAAAAAACTGAATAGGCCAAGCCTTCCTTCTGGTTATTTTTGAATTGTTTACTGCAACTTATTCCAATTTACTACCAGTACTTTACATCTGTCTCCATCTATTCTGATTTTTATTATCGTCAGTCAGTATGGTCAACGGAATCAGTGAAAAATGGACCTATTACATTGTTATTAATGAAAATATTATTGTGTATTTACACACGACAATCAGGAAAAGACATGGATATAAACTAAAAATGACATCATTATGTATCATACCCTTGATAGGATTATTCATTTATAATTTTATAACGTTTTATAACATTGCCAAATAAAAAGACTTGAGGGAAGGAACGTTGCCACTATAGACCTGTCACTGCAATATGAAGAAAAAAATGAATAGAAGAATTATGCATTTCAAATTAAAATTTATCTAGCACAGTACAACAAGGATCTTAGAGAACCAATGCTGCTGCTGAGCATGTATTTGTATTCTGAACCAATTTTATTGTAAATAGTCTGAAACTCATTGTAGGATTATTTTAGCTAAAATGATAATGTAACTATACTAGCAGCTATAACTTTTACCAAATGCTCTTTATTTTGTATCAATAATGCTTTCCAGAGCTGGATTTTGGAGAGAGAGATGGGTTGTTGCTGGTTCGACCTGGATCGGCCAAACCGGTAGTAGAGACAGCTGGAAGCTCTGCCGACCCACCCGGATGGGGAGTGTACACAGGATACCCAAACCGGTAGTAAAAAAAATGGCAACCCACCTCTGGTCTTCCAGATGATAATAGTTCAAAACAAGGGTGCCCAGGATAAGATGGATCTTTAAGAATATTTTGAACTTTCTTAAGGCAGCAGAAGCTATAAAGCTCTTCCAAAGAGGGGAAAAGGCAACCAATGATCCTCTGGGCAACAATGTTAATCCTCTGTTGTGCTGTCCTATCTGCCACTGTGCAATTGGCAAACCTACACAGGTGCAGTAAGTTAAAATATCTCTACAGTGCAGCGGTAGAAGGTTACCAACAATTTTTCATTCATTTGTTGTTTCCTGAGAAGTCCCAGGTACAGGGCGGGGCATAACCTTTTCCTAGGGGGTCACAGCAACACTTGTAATAACAACACAAATAATTCATACACCATTCGAAAGCCCATCAAAAACT